CTGCTGCTGCTGCTGCTGCTGCTGCTGCTGCTGCTGCTGCTGCTACTACTGCTACTGCTACTACTACTGCTACTGCTGTTGTTGTTGCTGCTGTTGTTACTACTGCTGCTGCTGCTGCTGCTACTACTACGACACTACCACGCTGCGTGTGTGCGTGCGTGATGGTTCAATCATGAGACCGATTCAGCTGCTATTAAAAAAAAAAAAATTCTCGATTTTAGCATATCCGCTTAGTGCACAACATATGCACAGTCTTACACATCGTGTTGTCTTGCTCACTTACAGGCCCTCTAATGGGGGACAGTACTGCATAGGACTGCGCGTGAACTACTCATCGTGTGAAACTCACGTAAGTTCATCGTCATTGCATTCTTCTGCAATCCTACAAGCTACATAATGCCATGCGTTAGTACGTGCGCCATGTATCTTATATTGTAAGCATATCAGATCAACAGCCAGTTATGATTTAAAATAAAACCGTGTGTGTTCGTCCGTGTTCTATGTGTATCATATGTACCTCATGTGTGTATTTTGTTTCTCGTTTGTCACGTTTATATCACACACGCACACGCATGCACACACGTACACGCGCACACGTACACGCACACGCGCGCTGACACGCACACACGTCGTACTTCGTGGCTTATATCACACTCTGACACATTAGATGCACCCTCATGGTTAGCAGGTAATGATCTGACCAAAATGTTTAACTGCAGGATAGCTCTTATCACTACCAGATATATGTGCTCGTCATAAATAAACCCCTATAAATGTTTTAACCCAATACGTCCTCGTATTTGATAACCCCTTCTCGCTGTCTGTCAGCAGCGTATAATGATTGCTTGCTGCTATCTGTATGCAGGAATGCGCAGACGATTCCGACTTCAGGGACGAACAGTGCAAGAAATTCAACGGACGCAACTTTGACATTGCGGGTTTGGAAGAGGACATCACGTGGGTCGCCAAATATGACGGAATTGAGTGGCCTTTAATCGTCTGCTATAGTGGACACGCCTGACACGCATCCTTGTCTCGTTGTAATTTGACTATGACATAACGGCTAGTTTCACTCACAGAGGGCCGACACACGTAGCCTACCTACATGCAGTGATACAACCGTACATCAGTCGACTAAAGAAAATAGCTTACACACACGTACGCACAAGCTAGATATATATATATGGGCATGACTCGCTGCTGTCCTGGGCAGGACTGTGGGGCGTTCAGGCTTATAAAGATCCAGCCTAAGTCGATGCTGACTCCATATTTCTTAATGTAAGGTAACAAAGTCTACTCTCGCGTCTAGTTTGAGTTCTGTGGTTACTCATGATCAGGAGTACAGGGTGGGTTAGTGTGTAAGGGTAGCAGGTACAGCCCTGCCCATCCATCCCTCGCTCTCCACCCTAACATCTCCACAGTCGCCCTACCTTCCCGGCGAGATTTTATCTATTTCTTACACAAGTTTTGCGTCACTATAAATACGTGAATAAAGATGTAATTTTTTCTTCAAACACGCCTTCTATTCGGTTATGTCGCTTTCGTAAGAAGCTGGAGTCGTTCATGCTGCGCTCAGAGGTGATCGTGTGGTGCGGTAACACACGCGAGCAGCACATCGCAGACGATACTTTCATGAATTTTAGACGACAGATACATTTGTTTCGCACAGTTTTCCAGGCCACCTATAAGCCTACAACCCTCTCCTGCGCGCGCACTGACTAGTGTAAGTAGTCTATGGGAGTTTAAAGCTACCCCGAGTTTGCCACATAAAACACCATTACAGAGGGGGAAATCAATTATATATTACTTAAATAGATAAAAGAATTCAAAAACGAATCGCGCACGAATTTGCTTTCTCCCGCAGACGACGGGGGAATTTGGGTCGAGAAAGCACTAGCTGCACTGCACGCGGCCCCGCGCCGTAAGCACGCACACGCCACGCCTCTGACCTCAGCGTTAGATTAGTTCCATATGGCTGAATCTGCGTGCGTCAGCAACTAGTGTAAATATGACGAGAGAATCCACGGGTGCTGGTGCCGCCCTTCTGCTGCCTACTTTGGTTTAGCATGGTCCCAAGACCCATTTCTCCCCCTTTATCGGCCACCTTCTCTTCCATTTTCTCCTCACCTCCTCCCTCTGCCTACCTCCTCCCCCAGTTTCCCAGATCGTCAATGATGCCCCGTGTTGCGTGTGGCGATTGTTTGTTACAGCGATCCCAGAAGCTGAGGAGCACAGAGATGCGGATGAGGAATGATGAGCAATGATGCCTCCTCCTCTGTCATCCTCAGCTTCCGGGAATGTGTATCTGTACTAATTAGACATCGTTCTCTCTGTTTCCTCCCACCTGTAATAACATCACTGTTTCTCTCTCTCTCAGTCAGGGCAGTGCTGCATGTTGTAATGAACAAACTAGAGTCGTCCAACACGAAGCCTTTGATGACGAGGAAGAGGAGGAGGAGGACGATTAAAGCCAACTGATTTTGTTTTGAAATTGTACCAGAAAATGTATAGGTAACCTATAAAACACATTTTCGTGGATTTTGCGTGTTTAACATAAGGGAAGGTTTAACGGTAAACCAATTTTCATGCCTAATCACAGACGTTTATGCTTAATTGTATTAGTCCACAACTATTTCAAAATGTCAAATGCATCTGTAAATGATGGTATAATATAATTTTTACATGCATTGGCATCTCATTATTGGACACTAGGCTTTATTTAATACAAATTCAATTGTTTATGATGCGGTTTTGGATAAATCTACATTAAATAAAATTCCCCACAACTGAGCAACTGCCAGTTGTTAGAAATGCCTTATTTGGTGCAAGAACATAAGAAAACGAACGTAAGAAAAACTATATACCTCCATGCAAACCATATGCCCTATTCTGCTGGACTAGTAGATAAATAGGATGCCTGGGGATATATATATATATATATATATATACGTATAGGCGTGTGTAGTTATACTTATAGTAGACATGCACAAATGTACGTGAATTACTTGTGCATCTCTTTCTCGCATCCATGTTACTCACGTAGGACTCTGTGATAATTCAGCGACGTCACGTCATGTGGCATGGCCACCATGTGACGTTGAAACAGGACTCGTTTGTTGTGGAATATTTGTTCACTGTTGTAGCTGACTTGTATGTCCGACGTTATTCTCAACCACTTCTAACCAATCGTTGTTGCGATAGCACGTTCTGAGAATTGAATTAATTTTTTTTTAATTATGGAATTTATTAACGCTTTCAAATATTTCATAGTTACATAATAATTATGTCATAACGATTTGTCAGACAATGTTTGCAAGAATGCAAAAAAGTGCCGCAGAGTCGACAATTTTGTCTGAATGTGTGAAAAACACAACCTGTGTAGCTTGACTGACATTGCAACAATGTCCAGCTGGGTGGGGACATGGTTATTTTATTCTGACAGATTATTCACTGTTGATCAGCCAACTTTACATAGCAGCATAATGATCACATCCTCACCAATCATCAGTTGCATATACGGATCAATGACGTCATGAGTACTAACATTAAACGAATGTCCCGACATCTGTACCTGAAACTTCCCGTTTGCTGTGATTCTCCGTCACTCACAGTCTATACTTCTTTAATTCTGTTTTGTTTTCTGACGTGTGCTTTACTCTCGCCTCCTTCCGTTGTTTCTGATGATATTTTTTCTCTCTCTCCGATTGCCATTTATGCACCATCTATAGGAGACGGAGTCAAACAAGGTCAGCGTTTTAGCGATATTATGTTAAATATATCTTACATCTATGCATTCACTATCTGCTTCATACCTTGCTGTGGGCCGCCTGAACACCCGCTTTTCTATAGTAGTGGCGCTGCGTGTCCCCTGGAAACGAGAACTGCCTACGAAATGCGGTGCACGTAGGCGACTTTGCAACGTGGCCCATGGCAGTCTGAGCAGTGGTGCTTCCGCGCAAAGATGGCGTGCATGTATTTACCCCTGCTAGCTAATATGTTGTCCCTCGATTCTCTACTCCGCATACCCTTGGCACAGCGAATGTTCGTGCACAAGGTGGCGCTTTATCTCTCGCATGCCGCTCGGCATAACATACGCGTCTGCTTGCGTTCGACATCCCTAGAGGGCACTGCATGTCCCAACCATTGCAGTGGGTGCGGTGCACGCTAGTGTCTGTGCCTGTCACGCTTGCTATCGCGTGAGTGCGTGCGTGTGTGCGTGTGTGCGTGTACACTCAGCCAGCAGACATGTGTGCACGTTCGTGCGTGCCTGCGTGTACATGCAGGCACCAGTCTATATGTCTGATTTTATTTAAATGCAGTCACCAGTGTGTGCGTGTGGGTGGGCGTGAGTGTGTGCGTGTGGGTGAGCGTGCATGTGTGCGTGCGTGCGTGCGTGCGTGCGTACGTGCGTGTACGAATTACTGAGAGTGCCGCTTGCCGCTTCCATTGCATGATGGTTTTTGGTGAACTTGCGGATGTGACGCAAAGGAAACAGAGCTGTCTCTCTCGCTCTCTGTAGCAGTAAGCGCTATCTTCGTGCTAACCCACACCTTTCTTCACGCTACTGCATGGGCGCTTGTGACTGCTAGTCTGCTTATGTTTACTTGGACACTCGGCAGTTGTATTAATGTATGTGCTACGCGTATGCTGAGCAATAATACTCACGTGTTTGTTTATTTCGGTGCCAAACATTTTTTGTCGCAGTATGTTCTAATGGGTCTCGAATTAATAATTAATATATAATATTAAAAAATCGTATGTCACATTGTTTCTAGCGAGCGGCGCTCGATTAATCTGTCATTGTTTTCGTTGTACTAGTGGTTCTCAATCGCCTTCTCATCAGGTTTTGATCGTAACGTTTCGCAAAACACTCGGACTAAGACTAATTCGCGTAAAGCATGTGTCATTAACGTGTTTGATTTACATTTTGCGTCTAATGATTAAAAAACAAATCTATTAATTGTCGATTAACATGGCGTTCATTAACCACGTCACTGTGTTCCGTCTGTGTCGTCACCCGCTATCGACAGTAGGTGGAGCCACCATCAGAACCATCGGTGATCACCTGCCGTTCACTTGTTTTCGCAGACGGCTGAGCTGATTGAGGATAAGCACTGTGCAGGACTCGACAAACCTCACGAGACGATCGACTGCAAGGGGCCGTGCTACAACATACACTGGCAGTACACGGACTGGTCGCAGGTTAGTGCACCGACACGAATCACACCTACCTCGGGACGATGTCTCCGGTCAATTGTCTCGAATACAAACATGCCTGGGGTCAGCGACTCAAGTCTCTGTCTTGGGTCTCTATCTCAGGTCAATATCTGTGGTCAGTGTCTTGGGCTAGTGTCTTAGTGCATCAGGCCTCACTCAATACCAGAGTTAAAGGTTGATTACGTTTAGATTAGATTAGTTTAGATTAGGATTAGATCGAAATGTGAAATAAACTGACACGACAGCGTATATGCGCGTCCCCTGCATTCCTCGTCTCATTCGCGGCGCCCCCTGGTGTTCTTACAGTGCTCGGTGTCATGTGGCGGCGGCGAACGCTACCGTAGCGCCATCTGTGTCGACGGGGAGGGACAGACGACCGCAGACAGCTACTGCAACCGCAAGGAGCTCCCCCTGACGGTGGAACGCTGCAACCAGGGCGTCTGTCCCGTGTGGGTGCTCGGTGACTGGGAGAGTGTGAGTTGTCAAATTGTTAGCTAATCGTTATCACGTGCCATTCACGAGTTGCGCCTTAATAATACAGTACACAATCTATTATTCGAAATTCTGAAGACCGAAAGTTTTTTCCGTGGAGGTCGTCTGCACACCTAATCTCGCGTTTGGCTGCACAAGGTTCACTGCAGAAATATTAATGTGTTTGGCATTACTCATACATATTGTACTGTACCGGTACAGCACTTGGCCGCTTGAAAACTTGGGTTTTAGTACTAGCTAGTTGGAGGATATAAAGTATATTTATCTGAACTGCCATTCCGAAATCCAAAAAATCCCGAATTCCGAAACGTGTCTGATCTCAAGGGTTTCAGATAATAGTTTATGTACTGTAGTTGGAATGCCCATTCCCCGTCGAAAAATGTTCTGAAAACTTGACATTGCAGTAAATTTCTCAAAAGTGAAGAAAATGTAATAAAAAGGGTTCAGTATCATGCATCGGAACCCACACAATTTCAAAACGTAGTGGAACGTTCTTCGAGATCTCGACATTCGATAGAAGTTTTCTCGAGTAATGTTCTCGGAAACATGGAGAAGGATTGTGAGGAACCATTCAGAATGTCGAGATCTGGAGGAATGTTTTGCAAACATTTGATTACCATTCTCAATCGAGATTTCTTCGGGGAACATTGCGGAACAGAGAGATTTTAGAGAAGGTTTGAGGATGTTGCGATGCTATCGTGACGAGGCGTGCGCGCTCGTGTGTGTTGCAGTGTTCGGTGACGTGTGGTGCGGGACATCAGCGCCGCGCTGTCTGGTGTCAGGGTGGCGACGGTCAGCGCATGTACCCGGCGTCCTGCGCCAACGCCACCAGCGAGCAGACGACATCGCGACGATGCGAGCTAACAGCGTGCCCGGACTGGGACACAGGCGCCTGGGGACAGGTGAGTAGAGAAGAGCACGCGTCCGTGCGTGTGTCGATGCATACAAGTGTATCCGTGCATGTGTACGTAGGTGTGTGGCTGTGTAATATGTATATTACAGTAGACCTCGCTGTCATGTGTACATGTATGTAACATGTATCATTCTCTTCTACCCGCAGTGTTCCGTGTCATGTTTACATGTATGTAACATTGATCATTCTCTTCTGCCCGCAGTGTTCCGTGTCGTGTGTACATGTATGTAACATGTATCATTCTCTTCTGTTGTCCCGGCGGTTGCATTTACTCTCCGACACGCTCGCCCCCTCCTCGTCTGTACACATGATTCTCTTCACTGCCTTGCCTTGACACACGTGGCTGCATGTGCCGGGCAGGCCGTACATCCACTTGTAGCGCTGCCGCTCCTTGACCGCAATGTTGTACGTGTACGTGATGTCCGAATCCTGCAGGTTGCCCACCGACAGCACCTGCAGAATGAGGTCCTCCTTGGTGGTTTTGGTGCCATTGATGCGCTCCATGCGTGTCTGTGAGCCACTGTACTGCAGCACGGCCCCGTTCACACGGATGTCACGGCCAAATATATTCACGATGAAGTGACCGTTCAGTATGTACTTGTCTTTGGTTGTCTTCAGAGCGAGGTAGTTGTCATCTTGTTGGAAGTTGTTGTGGCCTTGCCGGATGTCAAGGAGAGTGGCACCAGCCGGTATTCTTGCAATTTCATTGTAACCATAAATAAGCTGGTCATATTTTGAGCGGTTGAAAGTAGCCGGGTCACTGACTGACAGGTGAAATTATCGCCGTTGCAGACGCCGCATGAGTCGACCGTCACGTCTGCCGTGTGGACGCTATGGTTACAACCAGCTGGCGTACAGATGCCCTGCACACAGATGTCGAACGAGTCGCGTGTACACTGCGTGCCATCGATGACACGGTCACGCAGCATGTAGTAGGCACTGCCCGACTCCACGCGACAGAACAGCTTACACTGATCCTTCGGCTCAATTCCGTCATATTTGGCGACCCACGTGATGTCTTCTTCCAAACCCGCAATGTCAAAGTTGCGTCCGTTGAACTTCTTGCACTGTTCGTCCCTGAAGTCGGAATCGTCTGCGCATTCGTGAGTTTCACACGATGAGTAGTTCACGCGCAGTCCTATGCAGTACTGTCCCCCATTAGAGGGCACTGGGTTGTTGCACTCGCGGGTCGACTTCATGATTCCGCCTCCACATGAGCGTGAGCACTGGCCGAACGGGCCCCACGCGCCCCA